TCCAGGAATGAATCATAATGTCCAACCAAAAGGCCCTATCATTGGTTTGGTAAGTCTTCTATTCCTACCATCAAACTGCTATTTCTGACTACAAGTCATCTCTAATGAAAGGTGAATCAGCACATTTGCTCCTGGCGCAGTAATTTCGGATCGATAGCCATGGCCCTCATTGCAAACTTTCTAGCTACTTCTAAAGATGACGAGAACGAAGATGAAGATGAAGACGACAATATCAACTTTGAACAAACACTGGCAGCAAATCTTCTCGACGAGTGGGCCTTCCTCTACAATGATCCAGATGTTCATGACCCAGACCAGATTTACTGGTCTGAATTTATGTTGGAAATGATCAAAAGCGCACATATGAATGCAATGGCTGGATTCCTTGATGTCCCGCGCTCAACATGGATGATCTGCAATTGAAGGGTATGCAGGTTGTGATTGCCGCATGCGCTGCCTCAGTAGGTCCCATCTAAATTTTCTAACATTAACTAACTGTTCATTTTCATAGCTAGAACGTGCTCTCAACTTTGTTGCAAAGCCCAAAGCTTCCAGCAATGACCAAAGCATCAGCACTAGCAGTGCAAAGGGCAGTACTACCAAGGGTCGCAGAATACTACCCCTCAAGCACAACAAATCCAGTGGCAAAGACAGCACTGCTGCATCAACATTTTCAGAGGCAAATTGTGGATTGGCGACAGCTGAATACTACCAATCACTCAAGAGGCGGGGGACGAAGTATACAATGGACACAATTTCATTGGTGTGCCAACGCCAGGAAGCGATCCAAAAGCTCAAGAATGCTCCTGCTGAGGATCTGAAACCCAAGGCCAGGCATGCCCTGCTTTGTATGTATTTTCCCCTCGTCATGTGCTCTGCTACTACCACTGACACATCTGACACTGGCAGAATACCCATTGCAGTCCCCCCACTCCAATCATTCAAACCGTCATTCTAACATCTACACATATTTGCATTTTAGAGGACTTTACTCATTCTTCTAGACTACTTTTTTCGCCCTTTTTTTGATAGTCTACTTTTATTAATAATCAGTGTCGTGCTTTTTCAATGCGTCTCGCAAAAATAAGTGTGAAAAAGCTGAGAAGAAGTGGAATATCAGTAATGAGATCTACTGAAAAAAGTAGGTTCTACTTTTTCGACCTTGTGCTACTTTGCATGCGAAATCGTGCGAAAAGCGGTACATAAGTGGGTCAAAAGTGATCTCGTGATTTCCTGATGTATGAAACTTGGAAGAACAGCCATCTAACGAATGGGTATGACGTTCTGTTCACTACATATAATACAGAGCACGCAGATAGATTGCATATTCAAGTGACAAAAAGGTCATGATTTCAAGTACAATACGGTAGCCATTAGTCCAGCTAAGGCTTCAAGAAGAAAATCAACTTTTGCTAGTGCCAACTCCAAAGCGTCGGTCTCTCGTTCGACAGTCGCGCGCAGACAGGCACCAAGTGGCTCGTTGGGTGTTTTTAAAGAGCCGGCAGATGATCCCCGTGCCGACGAGACAGGGGTTACAGCCTCGATGGTGCTTTGACGAGCCGCTCGTGGTTTCCTGACGATTATCAACTCCTTGATGCCCAATTGGACACGTGGATCGATTCCTCTGGTCCGTAGCACCATGTTATGCTCTATGGAATAATCCAAGAGCGCACTGATGCGAGCTAAACAAATGGTGAAAAGGAAATCAAACGCGATAACAACCAATGCTTACTGTTCAAGTAAGCAGGGAACGCCGACCTCCGGCGCCTGATCAAGACAAGCATTTTAAAAAATGCCGCTTTGTACGGCACTTGTTCCTCTGAACAAATCACGAGCAGGGTCGCGCCAATATTACTTGAATTCATAGTGGCGTATGCAATCTTAATTACCAAGGGCATCAGTGGAAGAGCCTGCTAGAATTGAAATCATATTTACCTCCGTAAGAGAGATGATCTGCAACGGAAATATTATCGTCAGTTGACTATAAGAGATGAGTGATAACAGAGACAGTACCTTACGGCCGTAGTGGCGAATTTGGCGGTCTTCCGCATCACTAAACTTCATCATCTCACTCATGGCTTCCAGAAAACGGTCCAGAGACTCGAGACGATTAGCCAGTCTTCTAAAGACTCCCCAACGATAGAGATTAGGGACGTTGTTAGGCATGAGTATTTACAGTAGAAGATAGGTGAGTATATGGAGAGATGCAAAGTGATGGAGAGAAGAGAGACACTGCCGACACGAAATATATAGTGCTCGGATGCCTGGGTCCACATATTTGAGAAGCGCTTGCCACAGGCCATGTAAGTATATCAAAAGAACAAATATAACTTTCGCCACATAGCTGCGGTGCATTCCGTGGACTCTGCCAGTGGACCGTGTTTGTGGCATCATTGTCCTTCGTTGGCACATTTACTTTACTCCGGAGTCTGAGCACCATGAGTCACAGTTCCGAAAACGGGAAACACAAAATGTGGAAGGTGTGGACGGCGAGACATTGATTGCGAGCCATAAGATGCGTAAACCACAGATGTAATAAAGATCCACCTGTTTGAAGGGGCTCCAAGAATTTACCACGTTCGCACGCGTGGCTTGGATGCGGTGGTAGGTGGGTACGATTGATTTGAAAGTGTGTCAGACAATGACCTCATGAGTTCATAGTCCTTCCACAAGTTCCGGAGAATGAGAGAAGTCTGCTTCCTCGTCGCGCTCGCGCTGCCCTGTTGGTACGCCGTCGCAACATATGGCTCCACATACCGCACTTCATCGGTCGTAACTTCTTCACTGTATCCTCGTCCTTAAGCTTTATACTTGATATCGAAAGGAAAGATCACTGTGTTGCATTCGGACCTCGTTAAAAGACCTTTCGTAAGAATATAAGAGATGGAAATGCGAAGTTGGTTGGGTTACTGCAAGTATTCATGTACCACCAAGTATTTCGATAAACATTGTCTTGATGGAGCACACACCAAGAAACTCAGTGGTACAACATGCTTGGCGTCAGGAATGTTCCATCAGCCGCACTGCGGTAGCCTGCGAAATGCTTCTGTGCTTATCAGCGATAACAGTGAGTCAGCGCTAAGAATGTGGCACATACAAGTTGGACAATTATATTATTACAGTCGTATGATGGAAACCTGCATGCAGAAGTTAAAGTTGCAGGTTTCTGGGCAGGCAAGTATTATCTCAGAGTCGTTGACGAGGTTTTGACAGATGCTGACAGACGGGCGTGTCTCTCATAGCAGCAGAGACCAAGCATTTGGAGGTACCCACGCCATGCTCGCGTTGGCATAGATTCATCTTTGTCGCTAGTACTAGTGATTCTGACCGCGCCAGGCCCAGATAGGCTAAAATTAGCATCCGGCGGATCATATAGTATCGTTTGGGCCCGGTTTGAAGCACGATAACGCCGAGCTTCTGTTCAACATAGACGCTTCACAACAATATTTGGGTTCCGAGCGTTGTGTGGTCGCTTGCAATTGATGGCCAGCAACTTGTTTCCGCATCAGACGACAAAACAGTCAAGTTCTGAGGCTCGTCGATGGGACCCGGATCGGTCAACCTTGATGCATAATGCATTGGTACATGCCATTTCTTCTGATGGCTCCTTCATTGCCACTGCCTCGTTCGATGAGACTGTGCGCCTGTGGAACACCAAGTCACACAGGCGGATAGGACAGCCACTCGAACATACCGCATGAGTTTCCTGCGTTGCAACCTTTCTCAGTGGAGAACTGCTCGCCAGTGGACTGTGATGGGAATATTCAGCTCTGGTCCGGGCACACCGCAGTAAGGTGAAGTTGAACCAAAACCTCTATGTGGAGACCTTTCGGGCACGAACAAGGTGCGGATGATATTCGTCGTTGTTCTAACATTTGTGATGATGTTCTTATGCCATTGGGCTCAACCCTTCGTCTTATCTCGGGTACGAACTGAAGCGTGCCGCACCGCACTATGATGATGTGTTCGAGGCCTCCAAGATAATGCTCTTCAAGTTGGACAATGCATTCGACCCACGGATACGACGTGAGCCCCAAACAACTCGAGCGCCGACTTGAGGATGACTTACATTTTTTGCAGAGCTATTCCAGTAACACGTCAGTCCATCTGAAGTAGAAGATACTATTCGACGAGCCATTCACGCTCAACTGGAAAACGCTCCACTTCTTTTAATCAACACCATCACTGAGCATATATGTGATTGAAATGCACAGATCAACGACTTCATGGAGAATACAGAGTACAGACAGCTTTTGTCTTCATCAGTAATGCATAGGTCCCTCTAAATGGAGCCCATCAAAGAAACGGTTGCGAAGTACTTCAATTTGGTCATGTTATCCCATAGGTGAAACTAAGGAACTGCTACTGCATGATATTCAGGACAGGATATATGACTTGGATCCGGTTGGAATTGTTGTAAAGTTGCAGAAGTTCTGCGGAGTTGCTCGCAACAGGCTCCTTGTCACTTGACCATGGTCCATGGTGCGCCCAGTTTACTTCGTCTCACCATAACCCCTAACGCATTGACATTCAGTCCTCCCGTATCGAACTACTCAATGCTCAGCTTATGAACTACGAACAATATCTATCAACTTCGAAGCACAAGGAGCAGCAGACGCCAGCATCACCAACGGCCTCGAGTTGAGATGTAAACTTGTATGTGCCACATTCTTAGCGCTGACTCACTGTTATCGCTGATAAGCACAGAAGCATTTCGCAGGCTACCGCAGTGCGGCTGATGGAACATTCCTGACGCCAAGCATGTTGTACCACTGAGTTTCTTGGTGTGTGCTCCATCAAGACAATGTTTATCGAAATACTTGGTGGTACATGAATACTTGCAGTAACCCAACCAACTTCGCATTTCCATCTCTTATATTCTTACGAAAGGTCTTTTAACGAGGTCCGAATGCAACACAGTGATCTTTCCTTTCGATATCAAGTATAAAGCTTAAGGACGAGGATACAGTGAAGAAGTTACGACCGATGAAGTGCGGTATGTGGAGCCATATGTTGCGACGGCGTACCAACAGGGCAGCGCGAGCGCGACGAGGAAGCAGACTTCTCTCATTCTCCGGAACTTGTGGAAGGACTATGAACTCATGAGGTCATTGTCTGACACACTTTCAAATCAATCGTACCCACCTACCACCGCATCCAAGCCACGCGTGCGAACGTGGTAAATTCTTGGAGCCCCTTCAAACAGGTGGATCTTTATTACATCTGTGGTTTACGCATCTTATGGCTCGCAATCAATGTCTCGCCGTCCACACCTTCCACATTTTGTGTTTCCCGTTTTCGGAACTGTGACTCATGGTGCTCAGACTCCGGAGTAAAGTAAATGTGCCAACGAAGGACAATGATGCCACAAACACGGTCCACTGGCAGAGTCCACGGAATGCACCGCAGCTATGTGGCGAAAGTTATATTTGTTCTTTTGATATACTTACATGGCCTGTGGCAAGCGCTTCTCAAATATGTGGACCCAGGCATCCGAGCACTATATATTTCGTGTCGGCAGTGTCTCTCTTCTCTCCATCACTTTGCATCTCTCCATATACTCACCTATCTTCTACTGTAAATACTCATGCCTAACAACGTCCCTAATCTCTATCGTTGGGGAGTCTTTAGAAGACTGGCTAATCGTCTCGAGTCTCTGGACCGTTTTCTGGAAGCCATGAGTGAGATGATGAAGTTTAGTGATGCGGAAGACCGCCAAATTCGCCACTACGGCCGTAAGGTACTGTCTCTGTTATCACTCATCTCTTATAGTCAACTGACGATAATATTTCCGTTGCAGATCATCTCTCTTACGGAGGTAAATATGATTTCAATTCTAGCAGGCTCTTCCACTGATGCCCTTGGTAATTAAGATTGCATACGCCACTATGAATTCAAGTAATATTGGCGCGACCCTGCTCGTGATTTGTTCAGAGGAACAAGTGCCGTACAAAGCGGCATTTTTTAAAATGCTTGTCTTGATCAGGCGCCGGAGGTCGGCGTTCCCTGCTTACTTGAACAGTAAGCATTGGTTGTTATCGCGTTTGATTTCCTTTTCACCATTTGTTTAGCTCGCATCAGTGCGCTCTTGGATTATTCCATAGAGCATAACATGGTGCTACGGACCAGAGGAATCGATCCACGTGTCCAATTGGGCATCAAGGAGTTGATAATCGTCAGGAAACCACGAGCGGCTCGTCAAAGCACCATCGAGGCTGTAACCCCTGTCTCGTCGGCACGGGGATCATCTGCCGGCTCTTTAAAAACACCCAACGAGCCACTTGGTGCCTGTCTGCGCGCGACTGTCGAACGAGAGACCGACGCTTTGGAGTTGGCACTAGCAAAAGTTGATTTTCTTCTTGAAGCCTTAGCTGGACTAATGGCTACCATATCGTACTTGAAATTACAACCTTTAACCCCTGTCTCGTCGGCACGGGGATCATCTGCCGGCTCTTTAAAAACACCCAACGAGCCACTTGGTGCCTCCATTCCCTCGAAGGCTGTCTGCGCGCGACTGTCGAACGAGAGACCGACGCTTTGAGTTTGGAAGTAGGATACAATGATCATCAAGTTGATATTCTTCTCGAGCCTTAGCTGGACTATTGGCTACCATATCGTACTTGAAATTACAACCTTTTCGTCATAAATATTGAAACTATCTACTCAGTGCTCACTCTGTATCATATGTAGTGTTGTTTTCCAAGTTTCACACTTGTTTGCAACTATACACCTCTTGCCCCTATATCTCGACGGACCATCTGCTGCCGCACCAGTAGCGTGACCTTGAAGTTTGAATTCATTTGCCTCGTCTCGTTTGCAAATTCGCAATCCATCACTTTCGTTTATGACTTGATCTCGGCTTGAGGATATCTTCTCGTTGATGATGGTATTCATCGTCCTCCAATGTATTAGTAGTAATTCCTAATCAAACATCACAAAGTTGTATTCGGTGATCCGAACCTGTACCTGACACATCAGTAATTAATGCACAGTTCCTTACCTCACTTATTTTTACATGCAGTAAGCAGAAATAAGCAAGGTTGAAAATAAGTAGATGGCCAGTTGAAAAAGGCCCAACTGAAATATCTCACTGATGTCTAGACAGATAGAAGGTGTGCTGAGGTTGTCAGTGAAACATGAAAGGCTTAGCCGCTAAGGGTTTTTAGAAGTTCTTTTTTACCCGGAAACGGTGGCATGCAGTGCGCCCAGCGATAAGGGAACCGTGTACAGCTCGTAACGCAAAACATTGTACTCCAGTTCTCAACCACTACAGCATGATAATCTCAATCAAACGCAGGTTTATTTTGAACTTGTAGGTTATAGCAACAATGTCTTGGTCTAGACTGATTTTCTGTCGATATCTGCAATCGAGTCAAGCCTCAATCACCATCTTCGTTTCTTCTTGTCCCTTAATCCACTTCTCCCAGCTGAAATGTCATCCGTGGGTAATCCTTGTATGTATCCAATTCCCTGTTAACATTCAGTTGCAAGGGATTCGGGAGGACAGAAAGGGTGGTCGCTGTCGGAATTGTCTTTCTCTTGGACATAGTGAATCCTAGCCGCGCGATGATTAGTAACGGCGAGGCAGTCTATGGAGAGAGAAAAATCAAGCGACACGCCATGGATAGCCTACTCTGCACCCACCGCAATTTGAGTAGCTACTCCGACCCCAACGAGTCCCTCCGGTTTGTTTGCTGCATAGAGGGCGAACATGACCGTGGTACATGTTGTGATAAGGGCCCCACATTCAATAATGATGAAGAAGCTAGCCTTATAGTTGGGTCGCCCTGTGAGAACAGCCGTGCAGCGTCCCGCGTGCCATAGACGGTAGGCTATGCCGCCTGATGCAAGAAAATTGACACCAGTCTCGAGACCCCATCCGGCGAGTCCGTATGAATGGACATTGCGGGTGAGAGGCGTTGCTGTTGCGGGTATAAAGCCAGAAACGGCGATCGATGCTATAACTGACAGAGTGTCACCACAGATAGTCCCTCGTCTTACATATCTAGCTTACTGCAGTGAAGGATCCAGATAATGAACTAATGATGGTAGGACATCAACACGAATGTTACTAGTACACTAATGGTAGACACGACAAATATAGCGTACCGGCATAATACAAATCTTGAAGTTGCGACCCCAGATCACGTATAGTCTCCAAATCTGAAAGGCAAACATTCATCTCTGTGTTGTGATTGAGCCTGGACCCGAAACTCACTAGGAGTAGTTCTTGAGCGAATGTCTAGAAATAATAGGTATCAGTCAAACGACATTGGAGATGCTTATGCTTCGCCACTGACATTCACGATATATACAAAGAAGCCACCGACGAACAGTTCGTTGCCACCAGGGTCAGCGAAGTAGTTATCAGCAGCGCTGGCTGAAGTCGCGAAAGCAGCCATCAACTCCAGCAAGCTTATGATAATATGTGCTGTAGCCAATGAAAATTGGACAACGCTCGACAACAGGAGCGTTCTAGACATCATATCATAGTTGTGCTTTTGTTTGAAAAGAATTAGGCTTCCACTCACTTTCGAGATGCCCCGTGGTGGCCTAGAAGGGTAAAAAGACAAATGCTGAATAAGACGCAGCTACAACCTCCATCAGAAATAACCCCGTGTGCTATGGCAGAGCGCACTTAGTACCTGGAAGAGAAGCGATTGCGTTGGCGATACAATAGAAATTCCTAAGCTACGTACCATATAAAATCGCCTCGAGCCAGATCCCAGTGATATACATCTGCGCCAGAGACTCGACCATCGTGAATAGAGAGTAATTGAGGGACTGCCAGGCGTTTTTTGGGAGGTATCCAAAATTCCAGAAATATATAGGTGGGTCATGTGTTCTACTCGGCTTGCTAGTTCAGGAGCGCATATCAATGGAACAGCATCTCAAACCAATCAATCAGCGGATGGTTCCTGACAGGGATCATCGTGGCGCTTCGATGATTTTTGATGGAGATCATGGGTGTAGCAATAACATAGGAACGTGATATGCGAAAACTTTACATTGTCCATGACAGCGTGAACACCTGCCGGTGACACCCAATGGGAAGTCCATAAGCCGCAGGAGCGTGTGCTACTCCAGAGAGGAAGTTGTACACAGCACACCTTCGTGGGTCTTCTGATTCAATTCTGATTAACGCAACAGTTAGTACGGCCGAACCCGACGACTCAACGGCAACTAGACAAGATGCAGAATTCCTGATTCGGGACTTGGACTGGGGTGTACAAATGGATGATAAACAAGGGAGGATGAAACTTCTTGCTAATAGTGGCCCGGCGTCAGGGACGGTCAGGCTTCATGGTTTAGCCAAGGAACTACTCACAATGGGTATCACTGCCATGGCCATGGCGAGTGAGCTCCGAGTGGACACTGGCGACTGAGGGCCTCAGGGAGGCTCGGAATTAATGCAGTAGTAGCACGCCAGTAGTGGTACACTCGAAGGCTGCGCCCGTCTGCGGCAACTGCCGCGACGTCGTGGACAATTATAATACAGTCGTATGATACCAGGAACCAGGGGGAACCTGCAGAAGAAGCTGCAGCTTTCTGGGCAGGCGAGTATTATCTCAGAGTCATTGACGAGGTTTTGACAGATGCGACCGATGGCCGTGTCTATCTACCATCTGACAGCTGCAGAGAACAAGCATTTCCACGTCATGCTCACGTTCGCATCGATTCACCTTTGTCACTAGTGACTCGCAAACTTGAATCTGCCTCACAGGCTCTTACGAGATTCTCGTTATGTCGTACTACCACATGTAGACACGACAAACGTCTCAATCAGTTAGTAGTCGGAGCACCGCGGGACCGCGTTCGATGCTCCTGGTGATGAGATTTCCAGACAAGGTTTCATCGATCAACGATACATTATACATGCCGTGGGTTGTTTCTTAGAGACGAGGCATGGAAGACCAGCAGCACTAAATTATTAATGCTCAATAATCAATCTCGAGATTGTTATGGTTAAGATTCTGCTCCAAGTACAGCAACATCAAAAGCGACGCGGCAAAGTCAAATGAACGTCTACTCACGTGCGCAACTTTGTGTGAAAGACTGCCCCAATCCTCCTAGATCCCACGCTCGTCATTGAGAAAGAAGACAAGTAATCGATAATGCCTGAGGATCGATCTATTGAGGGAGATGGAGAAGTTACGGCCGAGATTGGCTGCTTGATAATGGTGTGGAAGCCATAAACACACTAGTAGCTTCCGCATCATTACCAAGTTGCCAAATTGCCATTTGGCAAGATCAGACATGGAAACAAAAGCAAACTTGGATAAATGTGACAAACAAGTTATGCTGAGACCGTGAAGTTGTGGTACTGAAATATAGAAAGTCCTGATAGCAACCATGAGTATACTCAACGATATTTGCACTTACCGGTTGCGAGTCAGCGCTATGAGCGTGCACTGGTGAAGACCACCACCGTAGTGAACGTTTGAACTTTGAATTTGCCCCGTGACGCCTTCAAAAATGGTCGACCGTTTTTCAAACTCCACTCGACCGTTTCTCCATACACGTGATTCCCTTTGGTTCATTATTTTGCCAAAGAAAGAAGGTGACCCCCCCGAGAAGTTGACCCTTTGAAGATCTCACCTGACCTATTTTTCCGCGCCACCGCTTGTCATAATTACTAAAATTAGACCAAATATGAGTTCAAGGAACGACCACCGTTCGCTGTTCTAGTGTCCACGATGAGCAGTGAAAACGAACCTCTAATTCCAAGCGCCGAACATGAGACGGTGCACCAGAAATCTCGTACACTTCGCAACCGCGCACTCGTCTGGTCTGCGCTGGTTGTTATAATCATCGTTGTTGCAGTCGTCGCACTGGTTAACCCAAGCTTTGTAAGCGATATTGGTCTGCCGGAAAAGCTGCCCCGGGATCCTAAGCTTGCAGCACAGCGTGTGCTAGACACTGCTCCGGTCATCGTACGCCTCTTGACCCATATCTTCCGCTCATTCCTTGCTGACGGAATACATAGGATGGGCACATTGGTATGTTTCCTTCCCAATATGACCTGTCTGTCATCTTACAGTGCGCTTTTAAGATCTTCCTATAGTTGCTCGCTTCGGCTGGCGCAACAATGTTACCGATATTCATCTTGACAGTCAAATGCCTATGCATGTGGATATTCCACGTCTGAGGGAAGGGAAAGTCGGAGGATTCTTTTGGTATACAGCGGTATCCTTGCATTCTACTTTGAACTGACTTTCATCAGGTCTGTATATGTGGATTGTGCAAGCTCTGAAGATGAGGGCCCCCGATTTCTTGAAGGCTTCCTGGCGCGTCCGGTCTGAATGTTCCTTGTTGAGCTCAATGCATCTCGCTGACCGCATTGTAATGATAGAGACACCCTCGAGCAAATTGACGTCGCAAAGGGTCTGATATCGAAGTATCCTGACGTGAGTCTCATATTCCTTAATGCTAGTAATACTGACTGATGTCTGGCGCAGGATTTTTGCATACGCTGTCAGTGCAAGTGGTATCAAATCAGCGATAAGAGACCACAAAATCGCGAGCATTCTAGGTGTTGAGGGGTGAGTACCACTTCCCTGGCTCCTTCCATTCCCCTAAGGTCATCTCAGTGCCCCATCAACCTCGGGAATTCCATTGCCGTCCTCCGCCAGTACTACGAACTTGGGGTTCGCTACGTAACTCTGACCCACAGCTGTCACAACGCTTTCGCCGACTCCTGCGGTATGTTGATACCGAGTGTCCCCAGGCACTACGGCCTCAGCCCTCTTGGCTTCAAACTCGTGGAGGAGATGAACAGACTTGGAATGCTTGTTGATCTATCTCATACTTCTGACATGACTGCAACGCAAGCCCCTACTGCATTCCAAGGCACCAGTCATCTGGTCCCATTCATCTGCGAGGGCCATTCACGATGTTGCTCGCAATGTGCCTGATGAAGTGCTTAGTCTCGTCGGCTTTGGCGACGGGCAAAGGGATGCCGTTTTATGGTCTGTCCAGAAAATAATCGATTTACTCATTTTTAATGGTTGTGCAGGTCAACTTCAATGGCCCATTTGTCGCTGCCGACGGCGAGGCAGATCTTGAAACCGTCGCTGATCACATGGCATATTGCAAAAGTTGCTGGAGTGAAAACAGTAAGTTATGACCGATACTCGCTCGGCTGCGATCTGACGGTGTCGCAGCGTCGGGATCGGGGAGCGACTATGATGGGATTCAAATACTCCAAAAGACTCGAGGATGCTTTCTAAATATCCTGCTCTTGTACGCGGCATCTTTCCACCTAAATCTAAACGATGACTGACTGTTCTGCACTTCTCAGCTCGCTGAGTTGTACCAACGTGGACTGGAGCAAGCAAGAACTAGCTGGGCTCACTGGGGGCAATTTCCTTCGGGTGTTTGCGGGGGCAGAGACAGGTGGCCAAAGAATTGCAGGCTGCAGGAACCTTGGCTAAATATGACATTTACGATAAGAGAGAAGACCTGCCCATTCGCAGGGAGCTTTGATATGTTCAGGGAGGTGCGGCGGTACGTCTATTTGCATGACTATCTAGATCCGTTTCAGTTGCGAATGTAATTTGCTAGTTTATTTCTGTGTTAGGATGAAATATCATTTGAAGAA